TGATTTTATTTAGGATACTTTCTAACCTTGCCTTGGCTCTCTGCCTGCAGACATCCTGTTGGGTAAGGAGCCAGCAACTGTAAATGCAGTCAGTCTGCATAAAGATGTCTAAAACCTTGGTACATAAGTGTGCATAATTTGTTCAAGCTTTTGGATAGGTAGCCTACGTCCCGTAGCGAAACAGACATAAGCCTGATCAGTTCAGTGTGTAATCAGATACTAGCTGTCTATAGTGCTCCTGTGCCATCACATCACTGATACAGAGAAGAGCACTTGTACTACACACTCTGTACAGATGACGGTGGGAAAAAAAAAGGTGGAAAAATGTCTAAATGACCTTAAAACAAGAAATTTAAAAAATAGAGCAGAACTGAATTAATCAGCGATTATTTCCCCACTGATGTTAGCAGAAACAGAGATCAATCGAGTGACTTTTACCTCGGAAGATAAGACAGATGTGGATGATGCTGATAATCTAAAGTGATAACTCATTTCCCATTCTAAACCTATAATTCTTTAAAATTTGGCAGTTTTTCCATAAGTAGATTAGGTTATAAATGTAGAAATAGGTGGGGTGTCTTTCCTGGCATTGGACTGACGTGTTTAAAATACATGCAAATGGTAAATATATTTCAGTTGAGGAAAAAAGGAATGATTAGAAAATGTCACATTTTGACCATATGAAGGGTTTTTGCAGGCCACCATACAATTATGACTCATTTTAATGGTTCCCTTTTTTCTACCCTTTCATGCAGCTATATTCTCTCCCTCACATATTTTCTAATTTTGTTGCTAAAGTTGTGTTGCTTCATGGCTTTCCAACTCCAGAGAGTATACGCCTCTTCAGTAGAGGATGAACTCTCGACTGAAGATACTCCTCATGAGGCCCAATTAAGTTGTATGTAAAATAGAATCTACATTAGTGTAGAGCTGTATATGCAGGAGAGTTTGACAGATTATAACCTGGCATGGATCATCTTGGCCAGTTCGAAAAGCAGACCAGTGTAGATAAAGCAAACTGTTCATGTTGCTGCATTCCCCTGAGAGGTCCATGTTTATGCTGGCCACAAGTGACTTCATTTTTCAAACTCAGCTCTCGTGTGTCAGCAGGAAACCACAATGCCCAGGAGTCTTTGCCTCCGATGAGAAGGTGGCTTGTTTCGTATTGAGATGCAGTACAGTGAAGGGCAATAACGGGTCCAAAATATGAACGCTAACAGTATTTCAGGGCCAAAGTCCCTATTTCTGATGCCGATGCGCTTGCAAGGAAGCAGTCATAAGTTTGTGAACCTCGCCACAGTCTCACAGAACATGTCCCAAGATGCACTGCAATATGTATGCTGCATGCAGTTTACAGAGCATGATTTGATTTCCTGCCAAATACCTTAAACCGCACCACTCCTGGTTTATGGGTGATTCCACTGATGGGGTGCCATTTAGCCCTTGTAACACTCAAAAATGTGTTAACCCACATAATATCACATTTTTTATAAGGTTTCTTTGCTGACAGTGGCTACATTTTAATCTTCAATAAGAAACAGGGTTGAGTTTTTTAGCATAGAATTAGCAAATACACATAATAATGGCATGAGGGCTTTGAGGACATTGAAAAGATTTACTTAATTTAAAAAAAACATTCATTTATTTTCAATCTATAATTTTGGTAATACTGTTGAACTTTCAAATTGTCCTCATTAATCAATATCACAATCATTGAAAAAAAAAAAAAAAAAAGAGTGATCTCATGTCAAGTCAAGTCGAGCTTTATTGTCATTCTGCTACATACAAGTTAATCTTCCCATGATCATTTGGATGATGCAACTTCCTGTTGAATATGAGACTTGTGGAATATTCCAAATATTTCATAGGGGTGAATAGGTTTGTTTGATATAATAGTTTAATTATCTCGACACGATTTTACACTGCCATGTTATTCAGTGACATTTAGTCTAATTATATTATGTTACAAGACCTGCCAACCTTTAGTACTCTAATTTAATGTTGGTATATGCTAGTATGAGTTATCACTAAAAATATACCAAAAGAGCAGTCTTTTCCTCCCCAATAAAATGGGAGACGAGACAAACGCCAGATGAATTTTGGAATGATTTTCACAGGTGTTTTGAACACTATTAACTGATACCGATACTGATACTTCAGTGGAAGCCCCACCCCATTCTCCCCATCTCACATGCTCTAGTCTGGACTCGCAGAGCGTCCTCACTTTCTTTCAAGGTAAATGGAGATTAAAATGAGTACATTAATATGAAATAAATTCATATTACACATAATATATAACATGAAGTTACATCAGTGTATGTTTGGCTAAACTTTAGACAAGTACGTAGTTAACATTAGTTAAAAGGATTATATTGAAAATGTTTTGTTGTGGTTTTTACTGTTTACTGCAAAATAGCCTTAAAAAACACTATCTAGTTTTCATGAGTGCCACTGCCAACAAGCAGTTCCTGACTGCTGGAAATATTATTACACCCTCGCCTACTCTCCTTAAACCTGTGGAAATGCACTTTAATTTTTTCTGTTATTTTTTTAAGCTCTGGACAATTAAATCGTTTAGCATGATTTTTTTAAAATAGTAAATGGTGAACAGGGAATAATCAGTATTGCACAAGCCTAATGCTTGGTGAAAGTGTTCAGGTAACAGAGTTGAGTGAAGTATTCAAATGATTATATTTAAAGGTATATTTGGGACATGCTAAAATGGAATTTTCTAAATTGCTGTAAATATTGTATTAATGTTCTGAAATATGCACGTAGGTTGTTGTCAGACACTTTACTATTTTTTAAAATGCCTTTTAGATTTACAGATATGTATGTATAGTCATCAGTGGGACACAAATCACACCCCAATCACTCTTACACAGTGGAAATAAAAAGTCTACACCCTCCTGTTAAACTTGCAGGTTTTTGTGATGTTAAAAAAATGAAAGAAAGGTAAATCATGTCCGATCTTTTTCCACCTTTAATGTGTTGTGGCAACCAACAAAATTCAGGTGAAAAACAAATAAACGTTTTAGGGAAAAAAAGAAAAAACTTACAATAACCTGTTTGCACAAGTGTGCACACGCCTTAACTAACACTGTGTTAAAGCACCTTTTGCTTGTAATACAACACTCAGGGTTTTGGGGTAAGAATATACCAAATTCTTGATTTGTTCCACTCTTTCTTGCAAAAATGCTCCATAGTCTATTAAATAGTGAGGGGATCTCCTGTGCAGAGCCCTCTTCAAGTCATTCCATAGGTTTTCGAATGGATTTCGATCTGGGCTCTGACTGGGTCATTCAAAAACATTGAGCTGCTCCTTCTGAAGCCATTCCTTTGTTGACTTGTGCTTTGGATCATTGTCATGCTGGAAGGTTACATTTTTCTTTATCTTCACCTGTCTAACAGGGGTCTGCAGGGTTTGTGCCAAAATGGTATTTGGATCTGTCCATGATTCCCTCTATCTAGAATAGAGCCCCAGTCCCTGCTAAAGAGAAACAGCCCCATAGTATAACGCTGCCACTACTGTGCCTCACCATGGGTGTGGTGTTCTTTGGGTGATAAGCTGTGTTGTTTTTGTGGCAAGCATATTTTTTAGAATTATGCCCAAAAAGTTCTACCTTGGTGTGATCAGATCATAACACATTTTTTTTTCCCCACATTGTTTGGGGTGATTTAGGCAAGATTGAATGTTGTTGTTTTTTGTTGTTTGTGAGCAAGGGCTTCCATCGGGGTCTGGAATCGTCCCTGATAAGTCTTCTTATCCTTTTGTCTATTTCGGAGGGATGTCCTGTTTTTGGTAATGTCACTGTGGTGAGACCATTTTCTGCACTTGCTGATGATGGCCTTCACAGTGTTCCACGGTACATCTAATGTAAAATTCTTTCGTACCCCTCTCCTGATTGATGACTTTCAACATTGAGGTCCTGTACCATGGCTTCAGCAGTCAGATGAAACCAAGAAGATGTTAAGAAAATCCTACCAAAACAGCTGATCTTTATTTAATCAGAATCACTTCTTTGAAGACAGATGTATGATAATTACTTGTGAACATGAGTTTGAATCTGATTACTGAATTCTGAGCACAGTCACATGCTCCATTATAAAAGTGTGTACACATTTTACAACCAGGTTATTGTAAGTTTTTTCTTTTTTCGTTTTTCTCTAAAAGGTTTCTATTTGTTTTTCACTTAAATTTTGTTAGTTGCTATTATCACATTAAAGGTGGAAAAAGATCTGATATTATTTATCTTGGGTTCTTTTTTTTTTTTTTACATCACAAAAAACTGCAATTTTAACACATTCTGCCTAAGTTAGAATGCCTGAATTTTGACAGGCAACATGGTTGATAGGCAAGTAGAGGCACCCCTTTGTCTTGATTTGTTCGTGTAGGTGGTCGACGTCATTTGTTTTAAACAGCCATAGCAAGTTTCCTCTGATCAGATATTTAACTGTTGAAAACTTTGTTATACAGGGTGTCCCAAAAGTCTCCATACATAGGGGACTATGTACGCCAGCACCACGTTGGTTGTGCCCTTGTCAACTTCTTGGTTGGGCCGCAACACTTCCAGTCTTTTTGAATTTGAATTTTTGAAGTTTGGCAACAGTGTTGTGTGATGTGCTTGCCATGTTTCCTGTTAAAGTCCATCACAACCTTGTGACAGCTTCCAGATCCAGCTGTGTCTTTCTTAAAGGCTATCTGGAAAAAATATATATAATATAAACTATGTATGAACGTATGAAAAATTTTGGAAGACATTTTGCGAAAAAGTGTTAATTTCCCCTATGTACGGAGACTTTTGGGACACTTTGTTGTTGTTGTTCTTTCGGCTGCTCCCATTAGGGGTTGCCACAGCAGATCACTGGTCCGCATATTTGATTTGGCACAGTTTTTTGTGCCGGATGCCCTTCTTGACGCAACCCTCCCCAATTTTATCAGGGCTTGGGCCTGGCACTGGGAGTGCACTGTCGTGTGCAACCCCAGTGGCTGGGGTTGGTTCCCTGGCCGGGAATCGAACCCAGGCTCCAGCGGTGAGAGCACGGTGGCCTAACCATTAGTCCTCCAGGGATCAGACTTTTGGGACACCCTGTATTACAAAAATAATATTACCATAATATTATGTATTTTGACTTAATCAGCTACCACACCTTTAAACAAGACAGTGAGACAAGTGCTATACATAGTCAGGTCCATAAAAATTTGAGCATTGACAAAGTTATTGTTATTTTAGCATACCTATATATTGGAAATTAAATAATGATGAAAATGACATCAAAGTGCAGACTTTCAGTTTTAATGTGAGGTTATTTATCGGACAAACTCACAATCAGAAATTAAATTGTCATTTTTAATACTTGGTTGCAAATCCTTTGTAGTCGATGACTGACTGAAATCTGGACCCCATACACATCACCAGATGCTGGGTTTCTTTCCTGGTGATGTTCTATCAGGCCTTTACTGCAGCTGTCTGCAGTTCCTGCTTGTCCTTGGGGCACTCTGACTTCAGTTTTGCCTTCAGCAAGTGAAATGCATGCTCAGATGGATTCAGGTCAGGTGGTTGACTTGGCCATTTGACTTCTTTGCCTTAAAATAGTCTTGTGTTTCTTGCAAAGTATACTTTTTGTCCAGTGAGTTTTGAAGCATTTGGCTGAATTTGATATATTTCACATAATATAGCCCTATACACTTCAGAATTCATCCTGCTGCTATTGTCAGCAGTCACATCATCAATAAATGCAAAGGACCCAGTACCATTGGCAGCCATAAGATGAAGTGATATTCTTCAGATCATGAGCAGTTCCTTCCTTTCTTCATACTCTTCTCTTCCCGTCATTCTCGTACAAGTTGATCTTTGTCTCAGCTGTCCATAGGATGTTGCTCCAGAACTGTACAGTCTTTTTTTTTTTTTAAACTCTAATCTGGTCTTCCTGTTTTTGAGGCTTACCAGTGGTTTACATCTTATGGTAAACCCTCTGTACTTACTCTTACAGAAAGGACATGGTAAGTCCTCTCTTGTTTGACTTTGACACAGATATAGCTACCTCCTGGAGGGTGTCCTTGATCTGGCCAACTGTTCTGAAGGGGCTTTTCTTCACCAGAGAAAGAATTCTTCTGTCATCCACAGCAGTTGTTTTCTGTGGTGTTTCAGGCCTTGTAGTGGTGTTCCTGAGCTCACCAGGGTGTTCTTTCTTTTTAAGAATGTACTAAGTAGTTCATTTGGGCATAACTAATGTTTTAGCTATCTCTCTGATGGGTTTGTTTTTATTTTTTAACCTAATGATGGCTTGCTTGTCTGGCAGTGACAGCTCTTTGGACTTCATATTGAGAGTTAACAGGAACAGATTGCAAATGCAAACGCCACACTTGAAATCAACTCTAGACCTTTTATCTGCTTACTTGTAAGTGAAATAATTCAATTCAATTTTATTTGTATTGCACTTCTAACAATGGACAATGTCACAAAGCAGCATTACAGAAATATATAAACTCAGGATACAAATTTAAAATTTATGAATTTATCCATAATGAGCAAGCCAGAGGCAATGGTGGCAAGGAAAAACTCCCTGAGACGATATGAGGAAGAAACGTTGACAGGAACCACACCTCATCTGAGTGACAACGAATAGTGCAATTATAAATACTGCACTATTCTATACTGTGTACTATATGGTCAAAAAGTGCAGTTGTGTAACCACAAGATTTCATTATAGTTTTCACGTGAAGTCTATTTTGTTGAACTTATCAACTGTTCAATGATGGAGACTTGAGTGCAAAACTGTTTGTGGGAATTGCAGTCCTAAAGCTATTATAGCAATTGTAGTCCTAAGCCATCTTCATGGTTTCTATGTGGTACCATCCACAGTAATCTCATGTAACTTTAGGCTGTCTGTGTGGGGCCATCTTCAGCAACAGCGAGTGGTTTCCAAGTGATAAGAAATCCAACCAGAAGTAGGGCATCTGGATGGATCAGGCAGGTCAGGATCACTGGCATCTCAGGAGTAGCATGTGTAGCTCGAGAGAGAGAGATTGTTAGGTATGCTAATTACCACGTAATGGTTAAAGAATATGTACATTGTGTGCAGAGTGCAAGCAGGGACTCCGGCAAGACTAGCTATCACCGCGTAACTAAAAGGAAGAGCCAGAAAGAACCCTCCAGATCTGCTCCTTTACCTAAGAAAAAAAAACTATTCACAAAAGGCTTGACTAAACAAATATGTTTTCAGCCTAGACTTAAATACTGAGACTGTGTCTGATTCCCGAGCACTAATTGGAAGGCTGTTCCATAAATGTAGGGCTGTGTAAGAGAAAGCTCTGCTGTAGCCTTCACTATTCGAGGTACCAACAAGTAGCCTGCACCTTTTGATTGAAGTAGGCGTGGCAGATCATAAAAGACCAGAAGTTCGCTCAGGTACTGCGGCGTGAGACCATTCAGTGCTTTATAGGTAAATAGTAGTATTTGATAATCAGTGCGAAATTTGAATGGGAGCCAATGCAGGGTGGATAAGATAGGGGTGATGTGGTCATATCTTCTGGTTCTAGTAAGGAATCTGGCTACTGCATCCTGGACTATCTGGAGCTTGTTTATGCACCTACTGGAATGTCCAGACAGCAAGGCATAGCAATAATCCAACCTAGAGGTAACAAAAGCATGAACTTTTTTTCTGCATCGTGTAGTGACGTTATATTTCTTATCTTAACAATGTATCTGAGTAATAGTAATATTATCTACATGAGCTTCAGTTGAAAGACTGGAGTCAATAAAGGTAAAGGTCTTTTACCGCTGCACATGACGAAACAGAAAGGCCATCCAGAGATACTACGCAATCAGAAAGCTTACTTCCAACTGCATGTGGTCCTAGTACAAGTACTTCTGTCTTGTCAGAATTAAGTAGAAGGAAGTTAATAAGCATCCAGTGTCTAATGTCCTTTACACATTCCTCAACTTTATTAAGCTGATGTTTCTCATCTGTCTTTGCTGAAACATACAGCTGTGTGTCATCAGCATAACAGTGGACTCTAATACCATGTTTATGAATAATTTTACCCAGAGGTAGCATATATAAAAAAAAAAAAAAAAAAGCAGTGGGCCTAAAACAGAACCTTGTGGAACACCAAACTTTACCTTAGTATGTGTAGAGAAACAATGAGGAAATAAAACACACATGGCCATGGAACCTCTGAGCAGGCAATTGTCCAATTACTTATGGTCCCTTAAAAAGGGGGGACCACATATAAAAAGTGGTCATATTCATTGTTTAATTTCAATATACTGTGGTAGACAGCTAAAATAACAATAACTTGTTATTGTCCTCAAATATTGTCCAAATATTGTAACTCCTTGGCATAGGAGAACACAGCTGAGTACAAATGTTATGACCTCACATTCAAAAGTATTTACTAAACTAGAAGATCCAGAAGACCGGTATGCAAGACATTTCTATAGATTTGAAGGTTTTTAAAATTCAATTACTAATTGCAAAAGGTAGTGTTAATAAGCAACTACACAAAGGTACATAAGGATGCAATTTGAGACACAATGCTGGTTTGTTTAGTCGGTTGTGGACACAGTGTCACATGGTGCTATACTGGCCCCACAACTTGCATTGGCATTGCACCACACAGACACATAGAGTGTATTTCTGTGGATGTGCATGAGCAATACTCTATGTGCCACAGCCATCTTGTGTACACACGTGTCGGGCTTGGCATGGTTAGATTGATCTGTGGTGGTTTAACAGTAGCCAGACAGACTTGCAGAGAGATGACTGACAATACAGCAGAACTCCAGCCAATACAAAATCACCACTTTTCGGAGAGCAAGACTACTTGAGGATCCAGACACTCAAACTTGGTTTATCCCTAGACAGACTATGATGTAAACATAGTCAGCCATTATTGTTTTTGGTTTCCGTTGCGGAATAAGGTTTGGATCTTGGCACTCGTTAAGTCAGTGGCAGTAGGATTAGCAAAGAAGAATGACTAGTCTCTGATGTGAGCAAGCCAGAAGTGAAAGGACTTCCTGCCCTCTGCAGGATGGCCTGCTGAGAGTCGTTAAGTTAATTAGGGTAATTAGGATGAGATGTTTAAAACAGCATTACTGCTGTCAGCAGGAGCACTTGGCAGGGTCATGTGCTTTTTAGTTATGATGATCTGTAATTTAGCATATATGAAAGATGCAGCATTATGCTTTAAAGCTTAGTGATTGAGAACTAGTCGGTTTTGGACTGCATGTCATATTTGGATATTTTTTGTTTTGTCTCACAGGGTCTTCATTATAATTACTTTGAGATGAAAAAAACCATGGACCTGAGTGGAGATGAAAGCCCAGACTTCCAGAACGCTCTCTCGGTTCACCCAGTGAGCAGCCCAGAGCAGATGTATCGCCTGCACAGATACTTCACAGAAAGAGAGCTACAGAAAACCTATGAAGAGATCAAGAAACTTCAGGTGAAAGTCTCCAGTTCTTTCTTATCTGTCCCTCTATACCAAGCTCCTTCCTTCACTCTTTATTCCTCTCTCTTTCCATTGTCATAATTCTTTTTTCATAATTATATAATTAAGCTCTCTTACATGCACATTAATTCTTGAAAATGTAGCAGATATAGCAAGTGGCTGTCCTGAAGGGATGCCAACCCCCTGTTTAAAACAAAAACGAAAATCACCCCCCTTACCGCCTGCCACCCCCTGGTCCATTACATTTGGATTATTATTCCTATGTGATAGAACTACTATCAATAATTTATTATCTTTCAGTATTTGAGATTCACACACCATGTAGCTGTGGATGACTCATCATTTCTTCATGCCAGACCGGCAAAGTTAGAATTGGTGTAAAGCATATGCACCTGTGTGGAAGAGGTGTTTATGTGGAAATCAAGGTTGCCAGACTGGATCTACTGTTCACAATCCAGTGACTGCTTAAAACCTTCCAAGTATTGGGTAGTGGGTTGGGTAATATGACTCATCTAGATGTGTTAAACAACTTAGAATATGGCACCTTTTGTCTGAACCCACCCATTTTTCAAGTGATCAGAAATATTGGATCATTGGAATTAACAGGTGTTTTTT